AGGAAGGGAGAAGGGAAGGGAAGGGAAGGGAAGGAACTAAGCCAGATTCCAAATTTGATATAGAGAAAGCCCTGCAACCAATACTTACAGAATATAATTTGTTGTAATTGCATGAGGAACCCTTACCAAAATTGACTATATTTAAATCAAAACTGCTAATTTCTGACAAGGACTGGTATCTACACCACAATATATCAAGAGAGTTTTCAATATTTAAAAGGAAGAAAAGAGAGACCACTCATTAAAGAAGATGTATTAATGGCAAATAAACACATGAGACAATGTTTCACATCATTACCGATTAGTTAAATGCACATAGCTATTAGAGAAGCATAAAAAAATGCTGACAACAGCAAATGCCTATTGAGAATACAGAGAATCTGGAGTGCTCACACATTGCTGGTGGGAATGTACAACCAGTCTGGGGAAAAACTTGGTAGTTTCTTTAAACACTAAACGTGATTATACAATGCAGCTGTTGCACTCTTGGGCTTTTATCTCAGGTAAATGAAGATTTATGCTCACACAAAAACCTGCACAGACATGTTCATAGCAGCTCTGCGCGTCATCTGCCAAAATGACTATCAGCCCAAATACCCTTAACCAGGTGGATGGTTAAGCAAACTGTGGTATATCCACAACATGACATACGACCCAGCAATAAAAGGGAACAAACTATTGGTATAAACAAAAACTGAGATAAATCTTCTGGGAATGAAGCTAAGTGAATAAAATCAAATCCCGAGTTGTTAAACACTGTGATTTCACTTGTATGATTTTTTTAAATGAGTAATTTAGAGAGGGAGACAGATTAGTGGTTGCCAGGGGTTAGGAACAGTGAAGGGGGTGTAGCAAGAGGAGCATCAGTGTGATTTTAAGGGCACAGCACCAGAGAATTTGGAGGGAATGGAGCTGCCCTGAATTGACTATGGTTGTGGATTCAGGAACCGAGACATGTGACGTGTTTGTGCAGAGCTACATACACAAATGTACACACAAAAAAGGAATAAAACAGGGAAAGTTTTAAGGAGGCTGGTAGATTGTATCGATGTCAATGTCCTAGTTGTTATAGTTGTACAAGATGTTACCATTGGGGGAAACTAGGTAAATAATACACGTGATCTCTTTATATTATTTTTTGCTACCTACCGCATGTGTGTCTACAAGTATCTTAATAAAATTTCAAGAATTTAAAAATATTAATCATCCCCTACTTGTGTTTATAGACAGTGTAAATTCTGTGTAGAAATTGAAGTAAATGAAACACTACTGCAAACAATAATATGAATACCTTTCACCAACATAAGGTTGAACAAAATGTTATATATAGTATGATTTCATTTACAAAAAAACTTTCAAGAAGATGTAAAACTGATAGTTTGCAAGATGGGAGGAGAGGATGGTGATTGGGAGAAGGTACAAGAAGACTTTGGGGTGTTGGTAATTCTCTAAGAGTTGATCTGTGTGGTGGTTCACTGTGTAAAAATTCACAGAGCTAGACATTCATGATCTGTGCGCTTTTTGGCTTGTTACACTTCAATAAATGTATGAATAAGAAAGAAAGAAAAAATATCTCTTCAAACAAATGAGCCAACAAAACAAGCAAACCGAAAAGAACAATCTTGCCAACAAAGACAAATCTTCAGAAAGAAATACATATTTAGTTACTGCACATCATTCACAGAAATATTGTCCTCTTTTCACTTTGTGTGTAACATTGCATGAATTACTTCACAAATAATGACCGTTGTTCATCTTCCGTTGAAGAATCCAGTGCTCTGTGCTGCCTTAGGTGAGGATGTTGGATTGATAGACAGATCACATGATTAATGGGGCAAATCATACGCTCACATTCCTGAAACTACTTTACTGAAAGTCAAGCTTCCTATTTGATTAGGGACATTTGTTTTGGTTGAACTGATTTTTTTCTTATACTTTTTCTGTTTCAACATGCTTTTCTGCCAGCACATTGAGTTCAGTCAATGGATTCAGTGTTTCTTTTCACTGGCTGACAACAGGCCCTATGTGACTGTTTTGTTAATACACGATGAATGCTTCATGGAAACTCACGTTTGGTGTGACCCAGACATTAATATGCAGGGGGAGTGTTCAATAAATGCTACCAAATCTATTTCAGCTATGCATGCTGTTCTTTTCAAAATTCTTTTAATGTGCAATTACCTGTAACATATTTTAAAAGGAGAGTTTGTGATAAGTTACATACTAGTTCTAGACTAGACAATGAAAACCTTTTGTGAATGATCCCGTACAATTTCTTGTGATAGAGATGCTTTCTCTTTCATGGCTGGTGTTGCGCGATCCTGCAGCAACCGTGTACATCTCTAGTCACCTCAGATGAACAACTGTCCCTGATTTTTTCCAGGACTGTCCCAGTTTTAACACTGTAACTCCTGCACCTGGGGAAGCCCCTCAGTTCCAGGAAAATGGGATGGTTGGTTGCCCTAAGTTGATTTTTTAAAAGAAAATATACACATTGGCAGTGTTAGAATAGAGTAATTTCTGTAAAGCTCCAGTGATAGTGATGTTTGAATATTAATACCATGGACAAGAGGCTGTACAGTCTTTGAAAGAGGGTCTTGCTATCTGTATTTCTAGGGTTTGGCTATTTAAAGCAGCAGGACCCTCCTTTGAGGTGGAAGTCGATGTACTTGTTGCCTTACATAAAGCCTTTGACATTTCTCTTCCATGCAGGCTCACGGGATCCAGTGTTCCTGACCTCATCGTGAGCATGAGCAACCAGATGTGGCTACATCTGCAGTCGGATGATAGCATTGGCTCACCTGGGTTTAAAGCTGTTTACCAAGGTAGGACGAGAACACTCTTAACAGAGTTTAACGCTAGCGTTCCAACAGAGGACAGAGACCATTCTGTATTGGTTAGGTGTAAGTAAAATCAACGAGTCAAACAATGCTGATAAATAGGAATCATGATGGGAACTTCCTTAAAGTCTGCTAACACTCGCTTTTGTGAATGGGAATGTTTAACTTCTGAAAACTTGGCTTGCTGTGATATGTACTCTGATTATCCCAAAAGAAAGAGTGAGGTGAAGTATTAGGTGTAAGCTAGCAAACGGCATATGTGTGGATCTTTTGACTATATCATATTGCCTGGTATTTCTCAAAAGCTTTTTTTATGTGAGCAAACAAAGAAAAGGCAATATAATGAATCTGAAAAGACTTACAATTATACATTTTATGAGCTAAATTCAAATATTTGAAATGAAAACTCTGTGCCTGTCATTGTTTTTGAGCAGTTTACAACTTTACAAGTTATGGAAAACTGATAACACTGCAAATAATTTCTGAAGCATTGAAATGCAAATGAATTTCCTGTGAAAGAGATGCAATTAATTGTTGTCCTGTGGATATTGATTACTTTTAAATCTATTAGCAAATTTATTTCAGTATTTCTGATTGTCCATATATTTGTGATCTTTGGATTCTCCTTTGAAATAGTTTTTAAAATATCCTATTGGTTTCTTCCTTAGTAACTGAGTTCCTTAAAATATTTGAACTGATGGATGTGTATGTGTGTAGGTAAAAATGAGAATATTTATCTGGAGCTCTTGGAATTCTATGTATTCTACTTTTTGAATTTGAGTAAACAGGCAATATGTTCTTATTTTCCAAGTGTATATCATAGGATAGTTTTAGGAGCTGAAAAATGTAACAAGAAGTTATTACCCATGAAATCAATGAAGGAGATAATAAAAAAGCATCCACCAATCCTAAAACGACAAGCATGGTAGGGGATATTGTCATGAGTCCATGTGAGTGAACACGCCACAGCACGGCTGCTCTCTCTCTCAACTGAGAGACTGCTGAAAACCCAACTGAGGGGTGTTTAGATGGATTGTAAGGACCCCTTCTCTCCAGCTTCTGGCTGAGTCAGTTAACTTCCTCGGAGGCAGCAGCTCTCCACATTTTCTCATAGTCTCCCCAGACATTTTCAATGTGTGGGATAAAGGGTCACAATGTTAAAGGGTCCTGTGGTGAGCGGACTCACCCAGGAGTGTCCTCAGCTACAGAGCATAAAATAGGTCCCTCCTTGCTGATACACGGGTGTGATGGGGACTTCATGACCCTTTTTAATAAGAAATACTACAACAAAAAATGAATATTTACATCCCATTCAAAGCTTAAAGCTAGAATGCAGAGGCAGGTGCTGACTACCTCCTGACATTTGGAGTTTTAGACCTGACCTTCAATTGAACTTTCATGTGACTGTGCAGTTATTCAAGAAAGTGTGGTGGAGTTATAACATTTTCCACATGACCTACATTTGCTGCTGCCTTTGGTGGAATCTAAAATCATCAGTGAAATACCAAACACTTCCCAACAGGGCAAATTGCAGTAAATTCATTTCAGCAGCATTGAGATACACATCATCAGGTTTATGGTACCAGGAATAGGAGCCTCGTGCCCACACTGTGCATCCTTGACTATGAAGAGACATAAGTAGTCCCATTAAAAGGGAAACATTCTTCCATGTGTCATATTTCACTGTAAATGACCACACCGCGTTAATTATAATTGCATTTCACCCTAATTAGTCCTCTGGTAACAGTCTCAATAGCCACCTGTGAGATGTCATAAATGTGTGAATGGCCATCAGTCCTTGAGAGACAGCCAATTCAATGCCAGGTATTATCTTTGACAAAAGAATAATCCAAAGGTAAAAAGGTCATTCAAACCAGGTAACTAATATAACATTTGAGAATGTAAACAAAGTAAGGGATTATAATAGTAGAAGACATTCTGAAAATGTGTTTTCAGAGTACTATATTAAGCTAACAGTTGTAGACAAAGTGCACATCACTTATAAAAGTGACCTTTATGCATATACATAATTTTATATTATTTGACTCAAAGCATAGTTGTTCATAAATTATATTATCAGAAAACAGGCCAGGCAGGGGGCCTGACACCTGTAATCATAGCACTTTGGGAGACCAAGGCAGGTGGATCACTTAAGGTCAGGAGTTCCACACCAGCCTGGCCAAGATGGTGAGACCCCATCTCTCCTCAAAATACAAAAAATTAGCTGTTTGTGGTGGGTGGGCACCTGTAATCCCAGATACACAGGAGGCTGAGGTAGAAGAATCGCTTGAACCCGGGTGGTGGAGCTTGCAGTGAGTGAGATAGTGCCACTGCACTCCAGCCTAAGTGACAGAGTGAGACTCCATCTCAAAAAAAGAAAAAATATATATTTTCAGAAAACACATACAGCGTATATTTACATAGAGTTAAATGTTCTGTGTTTTGATGTTGCCTGATTTTCACTAACATCTAGAGTTAGGAACACAGCCTCTGGAGCTGGACTCCCCTAAATACTGGTTCTGCTGCTCAGTAACTGAACCTTAGTGTAAGTTGTTTAAACCCTTTGTGTATCAGACTCATCATTAGGAAAAAAGGTCCTTTCTGGTTTTCCAAGTCCTCCTCCCCCGGACTGTCCGGGAGTTCCTCTTCAGTGGCAGGTGGTCTGCCGCTATTGGTTGAATTCCCCTGTTGGCAAAGGGATGCATTTCTGCACAAATCTCCCATGTACCTGTACTTACGCTGTCCTCTGCTCTCACCCGTGTCTCCAACTGCAGCATGCGTGGAGATCACCCAGGGGTCTTCATACACAGAGATTCAAGTCAGGGTGGGCTTCAAAGTGCATATTCCTGTGGCACTGGTGCTGCATTGCAAGGAGGGTTTGTGAGAAGGCTCCACCATGCAATTCCTGTAATATTATGGCGTCTGTATTTTGTACCCTGTGCCCCATGTCAGCCAGCGGGGTGAGGGACACACTGGCCTGCCTCTCCTCACCTCACCGTGCTCACCCTGGTTCATGAGTCAGCTTCTTTTTGCATCTGTGGCTCCTGTGTGCCCTCACCATGGTGCAGCCACAACAGAGCAAGTCACTGAATTTCTGCCCCTCTTCCAGATCACCCCGTCCTCTCAAGAGCCGCAGGGTGCTGTAGCACGGTGTAGCACACTGTGGGCTTGTCCTCCTGTGCCCATCCATCTCCACACCATGCCTCATGCCACTTCCCTTCTGTCTGGGCATGTCCTTCGTGCCCTTCCGGATGTGAAACTCCCCTCCCCTCCCCTCCCCTCCCCTCCCCTTCCCTAAGGCTCAGCTTGAGAGCTGTGCCTCTCTCCTGGACAGCTCACTGGGATGGAAATTCCTTCCAGTGTTTCCCTGTGGCTACCTGCAGCAGCTCCTTGTTAGCTACGGTAACAGTTTTCCTAGAGTGTTTTGTGTGTCCTCGAGTCCTTGAGAAAGAGCCCCATTTTATTCAATTCTGTTTCTCCAGACCGTTGCAGAGCACACAACGTCTTCATCTTGGTGAGCTGTTTAGTAACCAAAGATATTAAGAGCCATGTACAAACCAAGTATAATTAATAATTAACTGTTTGAAGCTAAAATTAATCGATTATATGTGCTCATTGTTGCTATTGTTTTCTTCAGGTGAATTACCAGCTAGCCCAGCTAGCATTCCATTGTCTTAACGCAAGACCAATAAGATGAACGTAGGATTTTATTGAAACGATATTAAAACAAACAAGTAATAACAACAAACTATATATTAGATGGATATTGAGTTTCCAATAATCACCCTTTTTTGTTGACGGGGTTGAAGAATTTGTATGAAGATATGCTGACGTTCAGGACAGTCTTAACTTTAAGAAAAATATCAGAAGAACCATTGACTCTAATTTCTATTTTGTTCTGAGTTATATTGCATGAATGAATTATAAGCACAGCCTCCTCTTAATAATGTGAGATAAGCCATTATTAAATATTTAAATATATCAGTACATATGAGCCAGAAGAGCAGGTGGTGCCAGAGAACATTAAATTCTAATGCAGAAATTTGACTTTTAAATTCCAGGTTTAGTGGCCCATTAGCTCCAGCTACATTCCACTCTCCCTTCCCAACATGTATCCTCCCAGATTACGTTTCGAAGTAAACTGAGGTAAGATGTAGTGGAAATGACACGGAGGTTAAGCACCGCAGGGCTCACGTTAGAGCAAACTTCCTGGGAGGCGTTCTCCAATCTGTATTCTAGTCTCAGGCAGGAATGAAAATTCTGAGGATGATATTTGCAAATTATGAAAGATCTTGTGAAATTAACAAGGTGTACTTCTAGATGATATTTCAGGCTCTGTAAGTGGAATGAGCTTCCTATTTTTTCCAGCCACATGGCTGCCTTCCTCACTTCTCATGTGTCATGAGTGTGTGAGTGTGATAACATTCTCCCATATCTTTACCACCAGGATCTCTGCATCAGATACAACAAGGACCCACTTTTCCTTACAGGTTTTTTTCCTTGCAATTGGAATTTGTTTCTTTCAATTTTCTTGCTATCTTTATTATTTTTCTTTGGTATTTCTGTTTCCTTTACGAGTTTTTATCATCTCAACAAGAGTCTTTTTTAAAATTTCTGAGTTGTGTTGACTTACAAATGAATCACATTTTGAATTGCTAATTTAAAAGTTATAGATGGGACTATTCTTTTCTCGAAATTCTTCCTGTGATTTTTAAATCGCATGTCTATCCTCCTGCCTCTAAGCCAGAAACGGCCAGGCACAGCATGCAGTTTTGATGACCCAGCTCCTATATGTTTCTTTTAGATCATCTGTTGCTTTAACATGTGAGCATGTGGAGCTCTGTTTCTTCTGATTTTTTCTTGGGAAAGGGAGTGAACAGAAAGAAAGTTTGTGCCATGTGAGACTGAGAATGAGAGAAACTGAAGAAGTTAGGCTGCTTCAGACTTGTGATGTGGGCTGAAGGTCAGGGGGTATAGGATGAGGG